AGCAGGATGTAAAAAAGATGTGCCTTAGAAACTTTGGTAAAGGACATATCTCTTAAAGTTATATGTAAACCCTCACACCTTGTAAAACAACCCATACAGTAGTTTACAATAGAATTGAAAGGCAAAACATTTGTGTATAGATATAAAAAGCATTATGAATACATGTTTTCATCTTTTTTTTTTTTTTTTCGTTATCACATAATCTCTGTTCTCAGCTGCATAGAGAGGTGAGGGTGGAGATACAACAGTACACTGAACTTCCCAGTGAAAGGTTGTGCAGGGGGTGCTTGTCAGCACAGGTTTGATCATTGGAGTAGAGCGCAGTTAGTGAACTAACGTTGAAATTACCAAGTTGCTGGCAAGAGCCTGCTGCTTCAAGATAATTCCTAAATAACCAATGGTTTTCAAAAAGACACTATATAAAGTGCTTTATTATTACCTTCTTAGTAGATCATTAACATCATATGAGTGAATAATTGTAGATTCACAGTGTATGGCCATAGCTGATCGTATCCCGATATACAAAAAAGTACAGTTGTTTGGCTTCTGGGATGAACAAACATATGTTAATGAAACTATTTAAAAAACATCATAAAGATGGATGGCTGGAATATATAATTACCCTTCTAGAAACCATATTGTTTCCACAGAAGAAATTGGCATCAATGAGGTTGAAGAGAGGTAATAATCTTCTTTAAGTCAAAAAATTGGTTGAATGTGATAGGAAAGTCTTTAACTGTGCATAATCACATTAAAGCCTTTCATGGGATTAGCCTAAAAATGGGCTCCAAAAATGTATCTTTATATGAGAGCAAGTGCGGACATATGTCCCGTTTTGCATAGAAATACTAATGAGATAATACTAAGTATTCACCTATAAAAGGCCCAAAAATTTCTGTCACGTACCTGATTGGAAACTGAAATGACGAGGTCGGCCTTAGTTGTGTCACTAGCCCTGACCCCACTGGAAGTGGAACAGAGGGTGTCTAGGGACCAAGGGGGACAAGAGCGCCAGCAGATGTTGTTTGCAGCTCTTGTAGCTGGAGACTTTGGAACACTGGTGAACCTCCAATTCAGGAACAGTAGTGATATGCAGAGCTTGTATGGTAGGTCGCCAGGTGTGCACCAGAGCAAGGGAGGAAGCTGGGATGGGAGACAGGAGCAATGTCATAGGAATAGCCGGGGGTCATCAATGGGCGGACAGCGAGGTACCAAATCATAAACAAGCCAAAGTCAGGAGCAGAGTCGAAGTCAGGAACCAGTATCAAGCAGGAGACTAATCAGTCAGGTCAGGAACAAGATAGGTCAGCAACAAGGAAATCACACAGGAACGAGCAGAACGGTCTGGCGCCAATCTTCACCGTGCGTGTGCACGTGCGTGATCGTGCAGTTCTGTGCACATGCGCACATCTATACACCAGCCCATCTCATGGGAATTCCCTTACATTACCCCCCCTTAAGGGGCAGTCTCCAGATGCCCACTAAAGCTTGTTTTTCAGGATGACCATGAAAGTAAGCTCGAACTAATCGTGGAGCATGGACATTAGCGGATGGTTCCTAGGAATTATCCTCTGGACCGTAGCATTTCCATTTGATGAGGAACTGGGTCTGACCACCCCTCTTTCTACAATCCAGGATAGCCTCCACCTCATATTCTTCATTACCTTCGACCAGCAGTTGTCAGGAATCTAGGAATGACCAGAAAGGTGTGGACTGACACAGGGAAACGCAGGTTTCAGGTATAGTATAATAATACAGTTTATTATTAGCCACCCAGATATATATATATATATATATATATAAACGCACAGTGAGCAAACCAACCTTCCACTAATCTTAGGAGGTGCAGGAATACAGGCGTAGTCAGGGCTGGAGAGGTGGAACGGTCAGGCCGGCCATAGGGTTCTGTAATGACCGTTTGGTGGTACCTCTAGCGGTCCTCAGGACAGGATTCCCCAGGGCGCGGAGTCTAAGTCCCAGTCTGCTTATTCACCAGGGCCCCTGATGGTGGGGATGGACTTGGAGCAGACAGGAACCAGGTCGCGGCCCCTGAGTACACCTGCTAGTGGTAGAGGGATCCGCCAGAGGTATGTGCAGGTAGAAAGCCTGATGTGAAGAGGCAGAAAGTGTGAGCAGGGACGGCTGGATCCGTGCAGGATGGATGGATGGCAGAGTAGTTAGCGTGGTCAGACGGGCCAGGTCAGCAACGTGCGGGCAGCAAGGTACCAAAGGAGCAGGCAGAGAATCGTCAGGGTCACAAGCTGGGTTCAGTAACTCACGGGCAGCACGGTACAGGGGATCAGGCAGAAGGATGGTCAGGTAAGCCAGGGGTTCAACAGGAGACGGTCAGCAGAGGTCAGGATCAAGCAGGGTCAGCAACGAAGCAGGAACACAGGATACCAGGTACAGAGGCTCATGGGAAAACATACACCAAGGCCCAGACTGCAGGTCTGGCCATCCCTTAAATACACCTTCCGCAATCAGCCCCAGGTTTGGCTGATTGCAGAAGTGAGCTTCTGGCTGCTGAGAGCACCCGCTGGTCAGCCCTGGTACTGCAGCCCACACGGCAGGTGAGTCCCACCACCAGTGCTGAGTCCATTCCTGACAGCAGTGGAGCAGGAGTTTCTGGATCTCGACCCGGAAATAAACTTGGTATTGTTGATTTTAATAGGGAGACATGGAATACTGGATGGATCTTCATATTCTTTGGTAGCATTAATTCAAAAGTCACAGGGTTTAATCCTTCTCTTAATTGTAAATGGTCCCAGGTACCTCGGACCAAGCTTCCTCCTTATCTCCTGGTTTCAGATTTAGATTCCCCTCCTTTTTCTGTCAAAAAATTTTTTGTTACTTGCTTGAGCCTCTAAAATAGTTTTTTGTAGCATTTGCCATTCCTACTGAGGAAATCCAACCTTTCTTGTACTGCCGGGACAGCGGGTTCCACTGGCATTTAAGGGAGGAAGGAAAGATAGTATCCATAGTTGGAGTAAAAGGGGACTGTTTTGGTAGCAGAGTGAATGGAATTGTACGCAAATTCAGCTAATGGAAGGAGAGACACCCAGTCATCCTGTGAATAAGATGAGAAACATCGTAAGTATTGTTCAAGGGTATGGTTTGTCCTCTCAGTTTGTCCATTTGTTTGCGGATGATACGCAGAAGAAAAGTGAAGTTCAATTTCTAGTGCCTCACACAGAGCTTTCCAGAACTTAGAATTGAACTGCACTCCCCGATCGGACACGATATTGCTAGGAACACCATGTAATCTCACTATTTCTTTGATAAAAGCAGAAGCAGTCTCAGCGGCAGAAGGAGTCCCTCTCAGGGGAATATAGTGGGCCATTTTTGACAGACGATCAATCACGACAAGGATTGTGGTAAACCCTTCAGATGGGGGAAGCTCTACAATAAAACCCAGAGAAATCATACAACATGGCTTTTCAGATACCAGCAGAGATATCCAACAGGCCCCAGGTTTTGGCTTTATCAGACTTGTTTCGGAGACATACTGAGCAAGATCTAACCTAGTTCTTACAATCCTTCATTAAATTTGGCCACCAGAAGGAACGGGAGACCAAATTTGAGGTCTTGCGGATCCCGAACTTGACCAGCTAGAGGATGATCATGACATCTTTTACGAATGAGAGCTCTGAGTTGTTCTGGTATATAAATCTGTTCTTTGTGAAGATACAGACCGTCTCTTAGCTGAAGATACATTTTCCAAAGGGGGGTGGATGATCATCAACCACTTATTTGTGCTACAAGGTCTGTTTGTAGGAGTAAAAACTTCTTAGCTGGCAGGATCGTGTCAGGTTCGGATGGTACTATTGAGTCATGAAACGTGTGAGAGCACATCAGGCTTGCTGTTGTTTGATCCTGGACGGTATGTCAAGTGAAACACAAAGCGGGAGAAGAACAGTGCCCCATCTTGCATGCCATGGCCTTAGGCGTTTTTGCAGTTCTCAAGTACTCTAGGTTCTTGTGATCCGTAAAGTATGAGGATAGGGTGGGAAGCTCCCTCCAGCAAGTAGAGCCATTCCTCAAGTGCCGCCTTTATAGCTAACAACTCTCTGTCTAGTTCCTTTCAGGGGAGCTTAACTTTCTAGAGAAGAAGGCAACAGGGTGAAGGAAGGATTTGAATCCCTGTCGTTGTGACAATATAGCGCCAACAGCATCTTCAGAAGCATCTATTTCAAGGACATTAAGCTAAGGCAGGGTCTGGGTGCTTCAGGATAGGAGCAGAGGTGAACAAGGTCTTTAATTGTTCAAACGCTGCCTGAGCCTCGGGAGTCCACTTGAAAGCAACATGTTGCCTGGTTAACTGTGTGACTGGTGCAATGAATACCTAAAAAGTTCGGTTTAACCACTTGCCTACCAGGCACTTATACCCCCCTTCCTTACCAGGCCAATTTTCAGCTTTCAGCGCTGCCGCACTTTGATTGACAATTGCGCGGTCATGCAACATTGTACCCATATGAAATTTTGATCATTTTTTTTCTCACAAATAGAGCTTTCTTTTGGTGGTATTTAATTGCCACTGGGCGCTTTACTTTTTGCGCTATAAATAAAAAATGTGCAAAAAATTTGAAAAAAAAAAAATTTTTCTTTGTTTCTATTATAAAATTTTTCAAACAGGTATTTTTTCTCCTTCACTGATGTGCGTTGATGAGGCAGCACTGATGGGGCACTGATAGGCATAGGCAGCACTAAAGGGCACTGATAGGCAGTACTAATGAGGTGGCACGGATAGGCGGCACTGATAGACAGCACTAATGAGGTGTCACGGATAGGCGGCACTAATATGCAGCACTGATAGGCGGAACTGATAGGTGACACTGATGATGGGTACTGATAGACGGCACTGACTGGCATCACTGCTGGGCACTGACTGGCACACAACCCCTGGGCACTGACTGGTGGCACTGACTGGCAGCACTGCTGGGCTGCACTGGTGGGTGGCACTGGTGGAAGCACAGGTGGGTGGCACTGGTGGGCACAGGTGGGTGGGCACAGGTGGGTGGCACTTCTGGGCACAGGTAGGTGGCACTTCTGGCACAGGTGTGTGACACTGCAGCAGTGGCACAGGTGGGTGCACTGCTGGGCACAGGTGGGTGCACTGCTGGGCACAGGTGGGTGATCTGCTGGGCACAGGTGGGCGGAGCTAGTGGGCGCACTGCTGGGCACAGGTGGGCGACTTGCGGGTGGCACTGCTGGGCACCGATCATCAGGGCACTGATCATCAGTGTCCTGATGATCGGTGCCGATCCCCGCTGTGACAACTGCCGGTTCTCGGCAGTACTTTCCTCACGATCTGACAGCGTGAGGAAAGTGCAGCCGAGAACCGGCACTTGCATTTTCCCTGTGATCAGCGTGTCATTGGACACGCTGATCACGTGGTAAAAGGCCGCTGGGATCGGCCCTTTTACCACATCACGTGATCAGCTGTGTCCCGTAGAGGACACAGCGATCACGGAGATCGCCGGGTGCGCGCCCCCTGGGGCGCGCAGGAGAGCGCGTTCTGGGGGGACATCATATGACGTCCAACCCAGAACTGGCCGGCCGCAGTGAAGCCGTCATGGTCGGCTAACTGTGGTCGGCAACTAGTTAATTAAATTTTCTATAGAAATTGGCAAATTCCACGAAGCGTTGTACCACTTTTCCTGTCTCTTGGAACGGCCATTCTAATACAGAGGTCACCTTTTGGGGATCCATAGCAATAGCTGTCGGGAGTGATCACAAGTCCGAGGAACTGAATGGTTTGTATTTTCTAGAATTTACAATTTTCAGCTTTGGCATAGAGGGTGATGTTAGCGTATAATCTACCCAGTATCTTCCTTACATGATCCCGGTGTCGTTCAATTGAGCTGTAAAAGACTAAGATGTCATCCAAGTAAACAATGACAAATAGATCAAGATAGTCCCGGAAAATATCGTTAACGAAGTGTAGGAATGTTACTGGGGCATTTACAGAGACCAAATGGCATCACCAGGTATTCAAAATGCCCAAAGCGTGTTCAAAAGGCCGTCATTCATCCCCTTCACGAATTCTGACTAAATTGTATGCACCTCTCAGATCTAATTTTGAAATGACACATGCTCCCTCGTAGCCTTTGGAACAATTCTGGAATCAGGGGGAAGAGGATAACGTTTTCTTGACTGATTATTCTTATTCAGTTCACGATAGTCCACACATGGTCTAAGGTATGATCTTTCTTTTCGACAAAGAAAATGCCAGCTCCCTGCTGGTGATGTAGAGGGCCGAAATAAACCCTTTTTCCAGGCTTTCATCTATATAACTCCGGAGGACCTCTAGTTCTAAATTCAGAGAGGGGGCAGATTTCACCCAAAAGGAATTTAAGCACTGGGCAGACCCCCCCCAGAAGTTCATAGGACAATTGTAGGGCCGGTGCGGGGGAAGAGCATTGGCACTCTTCTTGTTTGAATACATCTAAGTAGTCATGGTAAGTGGCAGGGACAAGTTTCATCATCTCTGAATCTGGATGGATGCTAAGAAGAGTAGGTCACATGCACATGGTTCCCCCTTTGGAATTGCAATGAGTCTGACAGTATTTGGATCGGGAAGAGGATCTCCCCCGAATAAAGCCAACGCGATGGATGGGTTGTGTGCCCTTAGCCAGGGCATGCCGAGGATGACTGGAAAACATTGGGTGAGGTTATGACATCCAGACATAGAAATTCCTGATGTCTCCGAGGAGGAGTGTGCAGAAAATTGGCATAGTCTCTTGTGTCACTGGGCCAGAACTGATACTAGAGCGCCATCAGCCAGATGGACAGGAAAAATCTTTGTTTTCTTGAAGCAGCTACAGGCACCAGATCTATAATTGCTAGAACAGTAATAGTCGCGTTTCAGCAAGTTGTAAAGTGAAGATGCGGAAGGAGAGGTGCGTTTGACTTGTTCCTTGGGGGTGCATCATATGGAACCAGCTAGGAGAAGGCTTATGAGGTCTCACTGGACATGTCAGTATCTAGTGACCGCATCACCACAGTAGAGGCAAAGATTGGAATCTTGTCGTCGAAGGACGTTCAGCAGAGGATAAGGGTGGTCTCCAAAAGCTCCTTCTAGGAGAATTACAATGCTCTCTTTTGCTGGAGAGTATGTCCTAATGTAACAGCAGTGAGTGAGGAGACAGGAATCTCCATTTCTGAAACAGATCAAGTCTCCCCTGCTAGTTCTTTCATCCCGCCTTTCCCGGGTCCGTCGATCGATTTGAATGGCAAGGTTAATCAGGTCCTCTAGCCTGGTTGGTACCCCAAACTCGGGCAAGCTCATCTTTCAAGATGTTAGAGAGACTCCAAGGCAAAACTGAAGGCGGAGAGCAGACTCATTCCATTGAGTGTCGGAATTCCATATACGGAATTCCATGACATATTCCTCTATAGGCCTTTGGCCTTGTTGTAGCTTGCTAAGCATAGATTCCGCAGTCTGGTGACGGAAGGAATAATCGTAAAGTTGTGACATGGCTGAGAAAAAAAGAGTCCATAGAAGTCAGAGCCCGGATCATGTTGCTCACGAAGGTGGTGTGCCCAGGATTGGGGTTTCATTCTGAAGGAGTGAAATAATGAATCCCACTTTGGTGCTTTGTGATGCAAAGGTTCTTGGAAGCAGAGAAAAATATAGCTCACAGGAATACGAAAGTTTCAAAACTTCCTGCGGTCTCCCGTGAAATACTCAGGTATTGAAACCCGGGGTTCCGGTGGAGGAAAAGTTCCGTGAATCATGCTGAGCTCTGTCTGGGTGGTTATGTCTGAGACTGCAGAGGGACCCATGGCTGTTGAGACATCTGACTTGGTTGGTAGTTGGTTTTCCATATGCTCAAGGTTTCTTTTCAAAATTTGCACCATGTAAGACAATTGGCAGGAAATTGATTGACAGATGTCCCCATTGCAGAGGCCTCCCTTTCAGACTCCATCACTGGCTGATGATACTGTCACGTACCTGATTGGAGACTGAAATGACGAGGTCAGCCTCAGTTGTGTCACTAGCCCCTGACCCACTGGAAGTGGAACAAGGGGTGTCTTGGGACCAGGGGGACAAGAGCGCCAGCAGATGTTGTTTGCAGGCTTTTGTACTTGTGGAGACTTTGGAAGACTGGTGACCTCTGATTTTAGGAAACAGTTGTGATATGCAGAGCTGGTATGGTAGGTCGCCAGATGTGCACCAGAGCAAGGCAGGAAGCTGGGATGAGAGACAGGAGCAATGTCATAGGAATAGCCGGAGTCATCAACGGGCGGACAGCGAGGTACCAAATCATAAACAAGCCAAAGTCAGGAGCAGAGCCGAAGTCAGGGAACCAGTATCAAGCAGGAGAGTAATCAGTCAGGTCAGAAGACAAAGCCGGGTCAGCAACAAGGGTAAATCACACAGGAACGAGCAGGGAACAGTTGAAGACCAGTCAGCACTCAGCACAGGCAGAGGCACCTCTCATCTATTCACACCCGTCTCATGGGAATTCCCTTACATTTTCTCTCTATAAGATGATCATTTGATTCCCAATTGGCGGCGGCATGAGGTATAACAACCCGGTTATCACTGATATTAGCAAGGTATAACTTAACTCTATTCAGAGGTACTTGCCACTGGTGGAAGTGAACTAAGCCACTTATATTTGCAAAAAACTCCCGGGAGTTGTGTGTATTAGTTGGTTTTCCGTCTTGCCTCATGTTTATGCAAGATGGAGACGCATGGCTTGCTTCTTTCCCCTCATGGGACACCGCAGCATGGAAGGATGCAGAGCGTGATGATGTCACTATGTTGATGCGGTTCGTCCGCCAATCATTGCGGACTTCGTCAGAACTGGGAGGGGATAACTCGTCCATTGCTTTTTATAGTGCATTATTTGCATACTTTCATCGCTATATCGCCCTCTTGTGTTGAAATGTCATCACTACATTGTTGGTCCAAATGTAATTAAAAAAACATATGATTGACAGTGAGCATCAGAAAAATGGCCAAAATATTAAAATAAATTTCAGATAGTGTTCTTGATAAATCAGTTACATCAGATGACAATAAAGATAAGAAATTATTTAATTATTTCTGTATATAAAAACAATTATTTTTACCTAAGATCCTCTAAATTATTTTAATTCATCCTAGACTAATCATATTGGGATTTATTTCAAGAATACTTTAAAGTTTAATTCAGTATTTAGACCATATAGTAATAAAGTACCCAGTGTATGTATCCAAAACTTTTCTTTTTGTAAAAGTATTCTATCAAAGTCTCCTCTCCTAGATGAAATATTCAGAAGGAAAATTCCTTTTAGTTTCAGACCATCAATTTTCCCTTGATGTACTTCTTTAAAATGTTGAGCCAAAGGATTCTCTCTGTCCTTATCATTCTTATTTCTATGTTCATTTTTAATATCTTGTATATGTTCTCCAATGCGTATTTTCAGTGGTCTTTTTTTAGTTTTTCCTACATAGAATTTTTTTACATGGCATTCTATCATATAAACCACTCTACTGCTAGAGCAGTTTATAAAAATTTTAATTTCAAAAGTTTGAGAATCATCTACATTAAGAAATTTGTTAGTTTTATGTACATAAGGGCAGATCTTACAATGGCCACATTGATACATTCCTGTGATCTTATTCATTATAGTTATTTTCTTTGGGAACCTTTTTAAATTCTGATTGTACCAGAATGTCATTCATATTGAAAGTTCTTTTAGCAACCATCTGTGGTTTATCTACTACGATTTGTGCTATCCCTGAATTCATAGTTAGACTTTTCTAACTTCTTTCTATTGTTGTCCAAATTTAGTTATGAACCTTACTGGTTCATTTTGTTGTTTATTGTCAATCTTAATCATATTGATATTAGTAATCATGTCCTTTCTAGTTTTACATGAGGCCCTGTAGTTTACTTTTCTCAAAGTTCTATGGGCGTAACCCCTTTCTCTAAATCTTTGATAAAGTTGTATTGCTTCCATTTGATATTGTGTTTCATCTGTACAATTCCTTTTAATCCTCTGGAATTGACCTATTGGGATGCCTTGTATCAGTGTCTCAGGATGATGGCTAGTGGGATGTAGAAGGGTATTTGCTGTTGTTTCTTTTCTAAACGTCTTTGTTGTCAATGTATTCTCATGGATTGAGATGGATAAATCTAAGAAAGAGATCTCATAATCAAAAATATATGTTAATTTTATGTTTCTATCATTTAAATTTAAGCTTGTTAAAAAATGTTGTAATTGTTCGATCTCTCCCTCCCAAAACCATCAGAATATCATCAATATATCTAAGCCACTGTATAGCATGTTTTTAAACATATGTGAAGTATATACCAGATCTTCCTTCCATAATTTTAGATGGAGACAAGCATAGG